GTATATCAAATAAGCAAATATCTGGTTCTCCCCAATCTTGCCTGCATCATCCCCAAAGAGAAGAGCACTCTTTTTCTAATGGAGACGAGACCCGGGTGGCTGGTTACTACCGAGACAATTGTGTTCCACGGCACACTGGCGAAGAGCCACAGGATGACGAGCAGCAAACGATTCTCAGAAGACTATCCAAATCTTCTGTATTACCCATGAGAACCTGAATTCTGAAGGGCGATAAAGCTTGATGAAACAGGCTCCCAGCATGCCTGTTTACCTGCTAGCCAGCCTGCTGCCACAAGATGGGGCTCTTCACTGCACGACTTCGTATGGAGAGGAACTAATTTAGGATGGTGGTAAATTTCTGCGAGCAAAAATGAACCTCACCAATCTGTGAAACAAGTCAAAAGTGAAGGAGAGTTTGGGATGTGGCCAAAGTACTCAAAGTGAGAAATTAATTATTCATGGTATTCATGTGCGTACTATTGTGTGTGCCTGTTAAGAAGATTAAAAACATAAGTTGAGTACAGCTGAGGAGATATTTCCCCGTTGTGTTTAAATGAGACAATCCGTGGCGAGCTTTCCCCATTCAAAACTCATCTGTTCTGATAAAGTTCTGGGACGCTTTTCATTCTGTGACCTTGAAAAAGAGAGTTTGGGATTGTGTGAGAACAGGCCACCTTTTATCGAAGTGAACCAAAGTTTAGTGTTTATTGGCCATAGCTCCACTGTGAAATTGGAGCAGTTATGAAATGGTATTATAGTTTGTTTGAAGGGGAAACATACAAGTTTCAGATCTTTGTCCAAATTATATAATGTTATATTAAACAGAATAGAAAGTGTCTCCTATCACAGAGCTTAGAGAACAGTAAGCATTCTTATATATATTAATATAATATGATATATTACATAGTAATATAATAATTTGATTTTAAATTAATTTATTATGTTCTACAGGTAAAAGTCTACATATCTAATTAAGTCTTGTTAACTTTTTAAATACAAATTGTTCTAAGTCATTGATTATGATTTTTTTTTTACAAAAAGGGGGCACACATAATTTCTTTGTGTTTGTTTTTGTTCCATTAATCTAGCTTCCTTTCCCCTCCTTCCTCCTTAGCTTTGCTTTATAGTAAATATCAATCATTTGGTTTTATATAGTTAAGTGTATAATAGAGCACATTACTCACGGGTGATATTGCTTTATAAATCAAGCTTCAGTAAGTTGAGAGATGACTTACAGAAACAGCTTCAATTCCAAGTTCAAAGGGTCTCTCAGTCAATCGTTGTGGCAATTCTGTAAAGTAGCTCTCCATGTATTTGAATGCTGATGCTGTTGGAAAATATTCCAAGTACAAAGACCGCTGAAGGAAAATCAGATCTGTCTTGTAAGGAGTACGGCCAGTGTGCTCCTCAGAGGCAAGGATGGTAAGACTTTTCTCGCATCCTTTGGACATGTCAGGAGAGACCACTCCTTAGAGAAGGACATCACACTCGGTCAAGTAGAGAGGGAGCATGAATGAGAAAGGGCCCTCACCCAGATTGATTGGCCCAGGGGCTGCAACAACAATGGGCTCCGGCTTAGAAACAATTGTAGTGATCAGGCAGAATTCTGGTGCTTCCTGCTATGGTGCACACGGTGGTGATAGGCTGGAACTGCCTTGATGGCACCTGCCAGCAATAATGGCTAAAAGCAATTTTCCATGTATTTACTGGAAGCCTTAATGGTCTCTTTATTGAAGTGTCTGTTCATGCCCTTTGCTTGTTTTTTTAAATTGGATTGTTTGTAGTTTTGCTGTTAGGTTCTTAAAGATGTCTATCCATTTTACAGACTAGACCTTGGTCAGATATGTCATTGCTGAAGTTGTTCCAGTTTGTAGCATTTTTACTCTCTTGGTAAAGTATTTTGATGAGCATATATATTTAATCTTTAGGATGTCCCAGTTTTCTAATGCGTCTTTTGTACATTTTCGGTTTTGTCTGACAGATTTTATCAGCCAAAAATGTAGTATTCTAGTACTTAGTTTTGTTTTTTAAACTTCTAATTGTGGTTTAGGTGGAAGTTTACCTAGCAGACCCTGAGATGTACATTTAACGATGTATAATTCATCAATTTGAGTCACTTCAATGTATTTCTCATTCAATTTACTCCCAGTGTTTCTTGTTTCCATGTTTCCTTCTTTCCCAAGGGCCTGTCTTTGGGTACATTCTGCTCTTTTGATCTCAAATGGCTAATTATTCTAAAGTAGGAAGGAAATGAGTTCCAGATCTAGTGGATGACTAGACATCAGATTGGAGGTCCCCCAGTCTTTATCTAATAAGTAATCTCTTTCATGATTGTCAGTTCTGTTCCACATTTTTTCCCTCTTTAACCATGACCTGCTGAGGCAATGCTTTTCACAAGAAGTGATTCCGGTAAGCAGGCACCATCTAGTTCTGCTCGTCCTGGCACTGTAGAGATATGCTTGCAGGGGCCATTCATCTCTTGGACTACTTGTTTTCATGTGTATTCCAATTTTAATCAAGCTTATTTTCTCCAGATGTGGAGGGACCAATATTTATATCTTACATTAATGCTCATAAGCTTTTAAGAGTCCATGCATTACTCACCAAAGTAGGATGCTGAGCTTTGTGTTTGTGAACTATGTTTTGCTACGTGGCATTGGTTTCCCTGCTGGACTATGATCCTGAACACCAAGGCTCAACAACTCATTCCCTCAGCATACTTAACTATGTCTAATAAGTTTGCATAACTTTGTCCCCTGTATGAGGGCCTACCCCCCCCCAAAACAGGAAAATTTATTTCAAAGCCATATTTGTTTGTTTTACCAAAACAACCATATCACTTTCAAAATATTCTCCATTACACTTAATAGACTTGTCAAATCTGCAGTTCCATTCTTGGAAACATTTTTCAAACTCATCTGTTTGGATGCCTGACAGCACCTCCCTCAGTTTTTTCCTTCACCTCTTCTACATCTTCAAATTGCTGTCCTTTCATGTCCTTCTTCATTTGAGGAAACAAAAAGAAATCACAGGCAGTGAGGTCAGGTGAGTCAGGTGTACGGGGCAAGAGAGGCATGCTATTTTTTGCCCAAAACTGGCACGCTGAGATGGCTGTGTGATCAGGTGCATTGTTATGGCGGCAAAACCAGTCCCCCATCTCCCACAAACCAGGCCTTTTTTGTCACACACTGTTATTCTATCTTTTCAGTACCTCAAAATAGAAAGCTTGATTAATAGTCTTACCTGGAGGAATGAAATTCAAATGCACTATGAATAGAATTTTTTGTCTGTTCAGGAAGTTGATGGATGTCCAAAATGAGGTTTGTCATCAATAGACATTTCACCTATTTTGAAACAAGAAAGCCACTCATAACCCCTGAGTTTTTGTTTGGTTATGCCCAAGAAGTTTTGATGACTTTGTCTCATGTATGCTGCAACACATTGAGGAATAAACAAGGGGTGCCCTGCAAAAAACTGATTGCCCTGGGTGGAGCAGAGCTTTTGTAATGTGCATTTGTCCCTCTAGTGAGCAGCCAGCAACTCCCTTTGAGTTAGTGCATCCTGTGGCATCACCTAGGAAGATTCTCTCTGATCACAGTGAACTTTTTCATAAAAGCATTTTTGTTCAAACTTAGTTTATTGCTATCATTGATTTAAATGAACAGCATGTGGCTGTGAAATTTTGTTTCCTGCTCAGGAAAAATGCCGCTAAAACTGTTGTGATGTTGAATACACCTTACAAGGATAGCACTATGGGAAAAACAAAAAATGAAGAGGGACATGAAAGTATGTATTAATGTGTACATTAAAGTATGTACACATGTGTAAGTGTGATGGAGAGTACTTAGAAGGTAATAAGATTGTTTTGTAAAAGAATTTAGTGTGCCGTGATGAGGCCTGCACTCACATAAAAGAATTTAAATGCATACCTTTGAAAAGAAAATCCTGGTTATTTTTGTGTACTTCCTCATAACTTAACTAAAGTACATATTCAAAAATGATGAGCAAATCACAACCGATGATATTATAGGCTGTAGCCTCTGCATTAATATTTTCTCTACTGGGGTACAGTTTTTCTCTTGAAAGATCTTTTATTTAACTTACTAAGTAAACCATAGTATTGATTTATATAGCATAAAAGGACAATCTTCCATAATGTTAAACTTGAATATTAAGAAGCAGAGACTTAATTTCAGTATAGGTACCCTTTATAAACATGTAAGACATTAATTTATTATGTTGAAATTTCTCAACATTAAATTGAATTATTTTATAATGCTTAAGAAACTTGATCCACAATTTTATTTTTGCATCTTTATCTTACCCTCATGTGCTTGTGAATGCATGCACACAGACACATATGAACAAACCTTAACAGTCATCATAAAATAAAATGCTTTTACTAAAATTCAAAACAAACAAAAATTGTTAAAAATGGTATCAAAAAAGGATGTGGAAAATTTTTCTTAGTCTTGAAAAGTTTATTGAAAAGGGAATCAAGAAATTCACAAATATTATGGGAGCATTGAACTTCCCCTGAAATGAGAAAATAAGAGGATCAAGGAATGCTTTTGGATGTGCTGTAGGGACAGCAAGAGGAGAAGGGTGCTTTCTTAGACTACTTGATAGGTTATAGACTGTGGGCTAACACGCACAAGCAAGTGAAGCAAGAAAAAATTTAAACAGTATGTTGTATAATCATGACTCCTCTAGTCAAGCCCATTATTGTGTGAGCCAGTGGTGGAAATGTGTCTGACACTTAGGTAGCAGTTATTTCTTAAGTTGAAGGTTGAGGGAATGCCTACACTGCCAGTATCATCTCTATTTGCCAAACCTCCCCAAACCACACCCAGTTAACAGTTACGCACAGACACCTTCGTAGAGCAATGTCCCTGGAATCATTCTTAAGAGACACTGGGGTTCTCTATCCAAAGAGCCTTAGGACCTTCTTATATGCAACAGTGAATGAGAGCTAAAATAAATGAAAAAAAATCAGAAAGTTGTGTTGAAAGCTGTTTATTAAGCAGAAGTTATGCCCTTGATAAGGGGAATTAGTTCCCCAAATTCAAAGATAGTATATGGGGAAGCAGAGGCTTCCAATTAATAGAAGTGTGAAAAATTCATCATCTCAGTGGTACTTGTGAGCCAGAGCGTTAGCCACACCGGCCACCACCTTCTGATAGGCAGCCTGCACCTGCGGGGTGAACTCAGCGCCAAGGTGGCGGGACATCACACACACCAGCACGTTGCCCAGGAGCTGAGGGGAAAGATTCAAAAAACACACTGGATGAAATAGTGTCTTCGCTTGGAAGAGAAATATATTACACTTATCTCCAATTGTGCTTATGATTTTACATGCAAAATATGCACCGTACAAACACTGAATTCTAGTTACTACGACTAGTGCTAATACTCCCATATCAGCATGAATTTATGTACAGACGTATTTCTCCCTACCAATCTTATACTGGACCTTAAGATAGCACCGTTATTTTTAAAGATATGTAAAGTTTAAAAATTGATCTGCCTTATCTTCCTAGACTTGAGAGAAAAAAAATTAAAGAAAGCATATGGAAAACAAGCTAAAGAAACACATAACCAGTAGATTTACAGAAAATAGCTAGTAAATTTTTTTTAAAGTTCAAAATAAAGAGTTGAATTTGAAAAATAAGGATAGAGGAAACATAGGAAAAAAGGTGGAAACAGGGTTGTGAGTCCCGAGGGATAAAGCGCAGAAGGGGTCTGGCAGAGGCAGCAGAGGGACACCAGGACACCTCTTTCCCAATTTGATGGGACCCTCCCCACTTCATGAAAGAAGCTTGATCTAACCGGACAAGGAGGAAAGCTTTGACTCCTATAGACTCACCCTGAAGTTCTCAGGATCCACGTGCAGCTTGTCACAGTGCAGCTCACTCAGGGCAGCATAGAAATGCTTGAGGTCGTCCAGGTGCTTCAGGCCATCACCGAGAGAGTGCAGCACCTTCTTGCCATGAGCCTGCACCTTAGGATTGTCCATGACAGCACAAGCAGAGGACAGGTCCCCAAAGTGGCCAAAGAACCTCTGGGTCCATGGGTAGACAACCAGAACCCTGGAGGGTGAAAGCAACATAGGGGACAGAGGGAGTTAGCACCTATCAGAAACCTGGGAATTGTTCTGTCTCCCCATGGGCACCCCCAATCAACATTCCTAAAGCCTACCTTACAATCTAAACACTCACCTGCCCAGGGTCTCAGCACCAGCAGCATCCACGTCTAACTTGCCCCACATAGTGGTGACAAGTTTCTTCTCAGCATCAGTCATATGCACCATGGTGTCTGTTTGTGTAGTTGTTAGTGAGTTAGTCGGAATCACAAGCAAGTGTACTCAGCCACTGAACTGCTCTTCCTTTATATCCAGTCCTTCGTTTTCCTGTGAGCGGATTGGCCAAGGCTTGGGTGTGGTACTACGGGTGAGGACCAGATAGACAGACTTGTCATTGGCATTCTGGCAAGCTTACACTGTCATCAGAGTTCATTTGAACCCTCACTATCTTTCTGCTTGTCTCCTGTTGCCATTTCTTTCAAGCATTTCTCTTAGTTTGTTTGCTAGTTTGTCTTAAGAATTATAGCTTCTTGGAGATATTCCTTTCAAGTCTGTGCTATACCACTAAGGAAACTGGGGTCTAGAGAGTGGACAGGTCTCATTTACTATGTTCTATCCTGAGACTATCTTGATGGAGCCACTCCTGTGTTTCCAGTACATGCAAGATCATTAAAAGGGTAGAAAGAAAGAAATACTTTTCTCTACCTTAAATATGTCTTTCTTCTGATTTGGATTAATTCTACCTGGTAAGAAAATGAATATAAAATTATTCATTTACTTTTGTCTCTATCTGGACATTTAACAAAATACGTGACAATTGAATCATGAATAAATTTAAATACAATGCTTTATGCAATAGTCACTGTATTCTTTTTCCAGAGCCAGGGATGAAAACACATAGTTTTCTCAGCATAGGATGAAATACAAAGAGGTAAAGCCAATTATAACCATCAGTGGTGAGTGAACTTTACAGCTCAATGGTCTTGTGGGTGTGTTTTCAGAAAATACTCTTTGAAGAGACACAGGATCTTTTTCCCTTTGTTCGTTTTTTAATCACTTTATTCGGTACAATTCCCCCATGCGATTCTGAAAGTGTAACTCTTTACAAGAGTAGAAAGCCTTGTCTGAAGCAGAAGCAGCGGGTGGTTTCTCACCTTGTAGCCCAACCTTGTAGCCCAAGGCATAACCACTAGGCCCCTAGCATACCACAGACACCACATAATTCAGGGCAAATAAAAGTCCACAGGGAAATAAACACCATAATTTATACCTAGACAATTATAAAACAGAAATAACAACAAAAATCGGGACACGAAACAAAATCCAAATGGCCTACAACACACTCTCTAAACTGTTCAGTTTGTACCCACACCTTAAAAAAAGACATACAAACAAAAGCAAAGAGCTACACATTGTTTTAAAGGGGGTCACGTAAAATTGATGAAAAATAACATAATTTGATAGTGTAAATTTCTTCAATTTATAATTTTAAAGCTTAATGAACATAATAACAATAAAGCAATAGTTTAATTTGTGATTTTGATTATCATTGTAGGATTAATTTAGGGTAGTTTTAATTTTGCTTCTTTCATCTGAAGCTCAGGTTTTCATTTGCGTTATGGGAATCGAGCGGTACAAATCTCATCAAAATAGTGAAAATTAAAGAAGGAAATGTGTAGGAAACACAGCACAACTTAAGGGTAGTTGCCTAATCGTTCTCAGAGCTGTCATTATTATATTAATGGGCTTTGTCAAGACTATACAAATAACAATGGTCCCCTCTCACCAGAACTTTAAAAACATATGATTGCAAAATACCACTGAAATAAATCAAATAAAAATAACTTTCTATTATGGAGAATGTTTATTTATTCTCTTGATAGAGTCATTCATCCATGACATATTTATACTTTCTTTATTTCTCTTAACAAAATATAAGTTCTAATTCTGGTCTGACAGGTTGCTGTTTATGTAAGGGAGGGCAATAGACACATGATGGACTCTAAGTCATAGCTGGAACAAAATAGCTGTCCCACACATATAAGCTGTTATTATACATAAATTACCTGATCTCAATTTAAGGTCAGGGAAAACAAAAGAAAATTCTTTTCAGAAAAATAACTTTTTTCAGAGTGCAGGATATGGTGGTTTGGGCAATGGAACAGGAAAGCTTTATTCTAAATAGTATGTTGACAAACCTGAGGGTTGTGCATTAATCATTCTCCTTTCAGTTTAGTCAAGAGCATCACTCACCCAAATAAAGTCACTTAGCTATCACCTTCTCTATATTTGGGAAATAGCAATCAGGAATAGCGTAGGGTTTAAAGAAGTGA